ATGGCACTATTAGTCATTTAAGGTGGGACTATCAGTAATTTAGGGTGGGGCTTTCAGTCTTTTTGGGGCGTGGCCACCAGTCCTTTAGGGCAAGGCTTTCAGTCCTTTAGGGCGTGGCTATCAGTGCTTTAGGGCGTGACTATCAATGCTTTAGGGCGTGGCTATCAGTGCTTGAGGGCGTGGCTATACATCATTTCTGCTCTTCTTTAGTCTTCCTTGATTTTGTAAGTAATGTCCAACAATCTTATCTATTTTTAAAATCTTTCAGCCTTTAGGTTGGTGTATTGTACATCACAGTACGGGTAAATCAGCTCATCAGCACAGTGTGGTAAACTGAGTTAGCAGATGATGAACAGAAGCCTGTGTGCAGATGAGCTCTTGTCCTCATGTGTGCTGTGTTGTTGATGATGATGGGCTGTTTGTCCTGTTGTTTTGCTCAGCTCTGTGTCTTCTGTGAGGTCTGGATGAGAGACTGTAGATCCTCCTCTAGTTTCTCAATGTAGGTCACAGGGAAAACACCGAGCAGCGAACACACACACACACGAGGAACTGTTTAATCAAATCATCCACAATCATTTGCATGTTCTCTGAGACACTGAGAGAGACAGAGCAGCAGCAGACACACACTGACCCAGCGTCTGCAGGCTTATTAGTGTGTGTGTGTGTGTGTGTGTGTGTGTGTGTGTGTGTGTGTGTGTGTGTGTGATCATGCAGACGTGTGGGAAGTGCTGAGATGTTGAGCAATAGCACAGATAGAGCAGCTCCGTCAGTTAAACAGGATCTCTACAGGCCCAGACCTGACTCACATTCTCTGATGATCTGTGTGTGTGTGTGTGTGTGTGTGTGTGTGTGTGTGTGTGTGTGTGTGTGTGTGCCAGGGCATTACATCGCCACCTTATCACAAACAGCACAGACTCAGCGCAGTCTGATGTCTATCACAGAAAACCAGTTACTTCACTTCCAGAGGCGTTCATAAGACCTTTATAAACATCATGTGACATCAATATGAAGGAGAGTTTATGCAAGCTTATGACAGCTGTCATTAGGTGTCATTAAGTGCTAAATGCAAAGATGACATAGTTTAAGATGCATTTGTGGTAACATGTCATAAACATGCTTATCACTGTAATTGTGTCATCAGTGTTTGTCAGTCAAACATTAATTTGTCATTAAAAATTCTCATTAAAAGTGTCAAACATTATTTTATATCAGCTTCACTAATATTTACTGACATCATAAAATATCAATAAAGCTGTTATAAAGGTCAGCTATAATGACACTCATGTTTATGACAGGTTTATGACTGATTTTTATGACAGGTTATGACTGTTTAATGACAAGTTTATGACTAGTTTATGACAGGTTTATGACAGGTTTATGACTGTTTTATGACAAGTTTATGACTAGTTTATGACCGGTTTATGACATATGAATGGTTTATGACTGGTTTTGAATGGTTTATGACATGTTTATGACAGGTTTATGACTAGTTTATGACATGTTTATGAATGATTTATGACTGGTTTATGAATGGTTTATGACTAGTTTATTACATGTTTATGACTTGTTTATGAATGGTTTGACATGTTTATGACAGGTTATGACTAGTTTATGACATGTTTATGAATGATTTATGACTGGTGTATGACATGTTTATGAATGGTTTATGACTGTTTTATGACAAGTTTATGACTAGTTTATGACAGGTTTATGACTGTTTTATGACAAGTTTATGACTAGTTTATGACAGGTTTATGACTGTTTTATGACAAGTTTATGACTAGTTTATGACAGGTTTATGACTAGTTTATGACTGTTTTATGACAAGTTTATGACTAGTTTATGACAGGTTTATGACATGTTTATGACTGTTTTATGACAAGTTTATGACTAGTTTATGACAGGTTTATGACTAGTTTATGACAGGTTTATGACATGTTTATGACTGTTTTATGACAAGTTTATGACTAGTTTATGACAGGTTTATGACTAGTTTATGACAGGTTTATGACATGTTTATGACTGTTTTATGACTAGTTTATGACAGGTTTATGACATGTTTATGACTGTTTTATGACAAGTTTATGACTAGTTTATGACCGGTTTATGACATATGAATGGTTTATGACTGGTTTTGAATGGTTTATGACATGTTTATGACAGGTTTATGACATGTTTAGGACATGTTTATGAATGATTTATGACTGGTTTATGAATGGTTTATGACTAGTTTATTACACGTTTATGACTTGTTTATGAATGGTTTGACATGTTTATGACTAGTTTATGACATGTTTATGAAAGATTTATGACTGGTTTATGACATGTTTATGACAGGTTTATGACAGGTTTATGACAGGTTATGCTGTCTTGATGATGTCATGAAGTCAAACATCTCAAACTATGTCATGTTTGCATTTCAACTGAGCTAATGACACTTGATGACTGCTGTCATAAACATGCATAAGCACTGATTCATATTCCTGTGTCATGTCATGCTTATAACGGTCTTATGAACACCTCTGTTGACTAAAGTGTTGCCAGAAAGGCAGAATGAGGAGTGTTTTACTTTAATCCAGAGAAAAAAGCTCTGAATGGACATGCCTGTCCCTTAAGCAGGCGTTGATGATCTGTGTGTGTGTGTGTGTGTGTGTGTGTGTGTGTGTGTGTGGTCTGATGGACAGCTGGATTATGAGATGCTGGTGTGTGCTGTGGGGCTGTATTATGATGATGAATGGACAAAATACAGAGTCTGTAATGTCATTGTGTCGCAGCACACACTGTCTACTGTGATACACTCTTATCATTTACATGAGCGCAGGATCACACACACCATGCTGGTAATCGTTTGTTTACTATATTATTTCCTCATGTCCAGGGTAAACATCTGGCCTGAAGCTCAGAATACAGTGAGAAATATAGTGTCATGAGGAGGAGATATACTTCTATATAGAGCATCCAGAACCCCTCTATATGCTCAGTACACCGTATATAACTGCACATAATGCTGTTCATGTGTACATCAGTGTCCTGTTTCTAGTCCATAAATCTGAAACTCTTAAATCAGGAAGCATGATGTCGACTAGTCACACGTATAGTGCTGTTTCCACACATAATGAGGGAGAATTCCTGAGAGCAAGCCGATGGGGTCAGCGGGATAATCCTGCTTCTGCTTCTGACATAACTTTATTCTCCTTCCTCCTGTTTTATAGAAATACTCACGAATATTCCACTCTTTATTGCTGAAATCAGGACTGTGTTCATTATCTTGTGTAGAAAACACGTCTGCATTTCAGCGTGTTCAGATATGTGGACTAGACACAGGAGAACAGCTCATGTTTGGAGGAGGAGTAGGTGTGTTAATGGCTCTTCCCCGAGCGTCCTCCCGGTGGGACATGCCTGGAGCAGCTGCCTAGGTAGGCGTCTGAAACAGATGCCCGAGCCACCTCAGCTGGAGCAGCGACTCTACTCCAAGCTCCTGCTGGGTGACTGAGCTCCTCAGCCTGTCTATAAGGGTTAGGTTAGGGTCCTACCCTGAGGGGGAAACTCATTTCAGCTGCTTGTATCCGAGATCTTGTCCTTTCAGTCACGACTCAGAGCTCATGAGCATATAGGTGAGAGCAGGAGCGTGGATTGAGCGGTAAATCGAGAGCTTTGCCTTTCGGCTCAGCTCCTCCAGACATCATCCACATGACCGCTGCACTGATCCG